TCTGTTTTGTATTTATAGGAACATAAGAATGGCCATACTGGGTCACGCCAATGGTCCATCTAGCCCAGTAACCTGTCTTCTGACAGTGGCCAGTGCCAGATGCTTCAGAAGGAATGAACAGAAAAGAACTATTACTCAGTGATCCATCCCCCATCATCCAGCCCCACCTTCTGGCAGTCAGTGGTGTAGGGACACTCGGAGCATGAGGTTGCATCCCTGACCATCTTGGCTAATCGCCATTGGTGGACCTGCCTTCCATGAACTTACCTAATTCTTTTTTGAACCCAGTTATACTTTTGGCCTTCACAACATCCCCTGACAACAGGTTCTAGAGGCTGACTGTGCACTGTGTGAGAAAGTATTTCCTTTTGTTTGTATGAAACCTGCTGCATATTAATTTCATTGGGTGACCCGTGGTTCCTGTGGTATGTTCAGGGGTAAATAACACTTCCCTATTCGCTTCTCCACACCATGATTTTATAGATGTCTATCATCTTGCCCCTTAGTTGTCTCTTTTCTAAGATGAACAGTTCTAGTTTTTTTAATTTCTCTTCATATGGAATCAGTTCAATACCCCTAATCATTTCTGTTGCCCTTCTCTGTACCTTTTCCAATTCTAATATATATTTTTGAGATAGGGTGACCAGAACTGCATGCAGTATTCGAGATGTAGTATGGATTTTTTTTATAGTGGCATTTTTCTGTTTTCTTATCTACTTCTTTCCTAACGGTCCTTAACATTCTATCAGCTTTTTAGATGTTGTACAGAGGTTTTCAAAGAACTATCAGTGATGACTCCAAAATCTCTTTCAGTGGCAACAGCTAATTTAGAACTCATTATTTGTATTTATAGTTGGGAGTATTTCTTCCGGTGTGCATTATTTTGCGCTTATCACCATTTGATTTTCATCTGCCATTCTGTTGCCTAGTCACTCAGTTTCATGAGATCTTATAATATTACCTTTGTAACGCTTCGCAGTCAGCTTTGGCCTTTACTGTCTTGAGTAATTTAATATCATTTGCAAACTGTGCCACCTCACTTTTCACCACCTTTTCCAAATCATTTATGAATATGTTGAACAGCTACCGGTCCCAGTACAGATCCTTGGTAAACCCCGCTATTTACCTCTTTGCCTTATGAAAATGGACCATTTATTCCTACCTTTTGTTTCCTATCTTTTAATCAGTTCCTGATCCATGAAGACCTTCCTTCTTATCCGATGACTGCTTACTTTGCTTAAGATCCTTGGGTATAGGGCCTTGTCAGAGGCTTTCTGAAAGTCCACATACACTGTCAGCTGGATCACCCTGGTCCACACTTGTTGACACCCTCAAAGAATTTGAATAGATTTCTGAGGGAAAGGTTAAAGTCTCACCTTCACCTATGATCTCTCCCCCGTCCCAAGGAAAAGGACTGTCTACCAGCTTTAATAGTCAGAATTAAAAATCCAGAAGATGACATGTTCCCTATTTACTCTCAGATAACTAGACTAATGATAAGAGAGGTTAACAAAAAAGTAAGAAGCAGAAAGATAAATCTTCCCATTCCTGTCATAGAGACTGTGCAAGGTAGTTTCTAGCAGAGCTGGGACTAGAACCTCCATTTGTTATGGCAGATCTGTCATCCACTAAGCCTCAGTGGATTTCACTTTGAACATGTGAAGTCTATGTGATTGGCTCTGCTATCTGTAACCACTACTCTAACACCTTTAGAGAAGATTCATAAATACTAAGGTCAGAAGGGACCATTATGATCATCTAGTCCGACCTCCTGCACAACACAGGCCACAGAGTCTCACCTACTCGCTCCTGCAATAAACCTCTCACCTATGTCTTAGCTATTGAAGTCCTCAAATCGTGATTTAAAGACTTCAAGGAGCAGAGAATCCTCCAGCAAGTGACCCGTGCTCCATGCTACAGAGGAAGGTGAAAAACCTCCAGGGCCTTTTCCAGTCTGCCCTGGAGGAAAATTCCTTCCCGACCCCAAATATGGCAATCAGCTAAACCTTGAGCATATGGGCAAGATTCACCAGCCAGATACCCAGAAAAGAATTTTCTGTAGTAACTCAGATCCCACCCCATCTAACATCCCATCACAGGCCATTAGGCCTATTTACAATGAATATTTAAAGATCAATTAATTACCAAAATCATGTTATCCCATCATACCATCTCCTCCATAAACTTATTGAGTTTAATCTTAAAGCCAGATGTATCTTTTGCCCCCATTGCTTCCCTTGGAAGGCTATTCCAAAACTTCACTCCTCTGATGGTTAGAAACCTTCGTCTAATTTCAAGTCTAAACTTCCTGGTGGCCAGTTTATATCCATTTGTTCTTGTGTCCACATTGGTACTGAACTTAAATAATTCCTCTCTCTCTCCGGTATTTATCCCTCTGATATATTTATAGAGAGCAATCTTATCTCCCCTCAACCTTCTTTTAGTTAGGCTAAACAAGCCAAGCTCCTTGAGTCTCCTTTCATAAGACAGGCTTTCCATTCCTCGGATCATCCTAGTAGCCCTTCTCTGTACCTGTTCCAGTTTGAATTCATCCTTCTTAAACATAGGAGACCAGAACTGCACACAGTATTTCAGATAAGGTCTCACCAGTGCCTTGTATAACGGTACTAAAACCTCCTTATCTCTACTGGAAATACCTCGCCTGATGCATCCCAAGACCGCATTAGCTTTTTTCACGGCCATATCACATTGGCGGCTCATAGTCATCCTATGATCAACCAATACTCCAAGGGCCTTCTCCTCCTCCATTACTTCTAATTGATGCGTCCCCAGCTTATAACTAAAATTCTTGTTATTAATCCCTAACTGCATAACCTTACACTTCTCACTATTAAATTTCATCCTATTACTATTACTCCAGTTTACAAGGTCATCCAAATCTTCCTGTATGATTTCCCGGTCCTTCTCTAAATTGGCAATACCTCCCAGCTTTGTATCATCCGCAAACTTTATTAGCACGCTCCCACTTTTTGTGCTGAGGTCAGTAATAAAAAGATTAAATAAGATTGGTCCCATAACTGATCCTTGAGGAACTCCACTGGTAACCTCCCTCCAGTCTGACAGTTCACCTTTCAGTATGACCTGTTGTAGTCTCCCCTTTAACCAATTCCTTATCCACGTTTCAATTTTCATATTGATCCCCATCTTTTCCAATTTAACTAATAATTCCCTATGTGGCACGGTATCAAACACCTTACTGAAATCTAGGTAAATTAGATCCACTTTGTTTCCTTTGTCTAAAAAAATTTGTTCCTTTCTCAAAGAAGGAGATCAGGTTGGTTTGGCACGATCTACCTTTTGTAAAACCATGTTGTATTTTGTCCCATTTACCATTGACCTCAATGTCCTTAACTACTTTCTCCTTCAAAATTTTTTTCCAAGACCTTGCATGCTACAGAAGAGTCAGGGACAAAATCCTGGAATCCTGATATTGAACATTTCACTGTTTTCTAGCATTTATTTGTGTAACTTTCTGCCATATGGTTGCTGCTACCAGTTATTCCTTTACCTTTAATGGTAGAAGTTTGCACTGTGGATCTTAAGGTCTGGAATTCAAACTATGCTGACTATCTCTGTGTGGTCGTTGGAGAAAGGCCGTCATTACAGTTGCATATGATGGAATTTTTGTTTTTTTTTTTTAGTTTTCATTTTTAAAAACTTGGGTAATTTAATTAAGTAAAATCATTAAAAGTATAATGCTCAGGTTGCAAAATCAAGCACTAAAAAATTAGGAAGTGCCATAATTTCATAATTCCATCAGAATATAATTACTATCTGAGTATGTAATTAAAGATTATTTAAATTCAGCCATACATTGGGGCAGATTTAAGATTGCACGGGCAATCTTAATTCTGGTATTTCATACCTTTTACATGCTTGACTTTACAGCGTTAATGTTCCTTCAATATAAATTTGTTTTGAAGAAATCCTAATGGAATACATTGAGATACTGCATTTTTTATGTATAAATGAAGTTTTTGACTCAGTTGCTTGAAAAAATAGTAGGTTAATTCCATAAAATAACTTTAAAAATAAATGTGTGAGAGTTTTAAATAGAAATATGGTTTCCAAGGTTATTCTAGGGAAAAGCATCAACAGTAGAAAATGAATTCTGTGTAATTGCTTTGTTTCATATCTTCGACTGATATATCTCTTCATTCTCTAAAAAAAGAAGATGCCTGTAAAACTAGTTATTTCCTGTTGAGAGCACACATTTGTCTTTACTGTACTCTTTTTCTAATGAATTACCTTAATCAGGGCTCTCTAAAGTTGTGTATAAAGTCTGTTTGTAGTATACTAAAGCACACTAGTAAACTTACTCGGTTTAATATTTTTTCTGCAGTTTTCATCCATCCTATAGTCCAGGGGTAGGCAACCTATGGCACGCGTGCCGAAGGCAGCACGCGAGCTGATTTTCAGTGGCACTCACACTGCCCAGGTCCTGGCCACCGGTCCGGGAGGCTCTGCATTTTAATTTAATTTTAGGTGAAGTTTCTTAAACATTTTAAAAACCTTATTTACTTTATATACAACAATAGCTTAGTTATATATTACAGACTTATAGAAAGAGATCTTCTAAAAACATTAAAATGTATTACTGGCATGCAAAACCTTAAATTAGAGTGAATAAATGAAGACTCGGCACACCACTTCTGAAAGGTTTCAGAGGAATAGCCGTGTTAGTCTGTATTCGCAAAAAGAAAAGGAGTACTGGTGGCACCTTAGAGACTAACCAATTTATTTGAGCATGAGCTTTCGTGAGCTACAGCTCAAGTGAGCTGTAGCTCACGAAAGCTCATGCTCAAATAAATTGGTTAGTCTCTAAGGTGCCACCAGTACTCCTTTTCTTTTTGCACTTCTGAAAGGTTGCCAACCCATGCTATAGTGGATATTCTCTTGAACAAAAGGCATATAAAGTATTATGTTGTGACCTTTCTGAGATGATCACTAAAATTTACAAAGACTTTCTTATTTTACAGGTCAACAGCAAGGACAGGATGGAGGCATGAAAGTACAGCAAGCCACAATAGCTCCTGTAACTGTAGCCGTAGGAGGTATTGCTAATGCAGCAATTGGTGCTGTTAGTCCTGATCAGATCACACAAGTGCAGTTACAACAAGCCCAGCAAGCTTCTGACCAGGAAATACAACCTGGCAAGAGATTAAGAAGAGTTGCCTGCTCATGTCCTAATTGTAGAGAAGGAGAAGGAAGGTAATGTTAGTTTGTCAGTTAAACTTTAGGCATCTTGTGGGGCCTGCCTTATTTTGGGGGCTTTTTTCCTTGTAGTACTGTCATGTTGCTAATCATGTCCATAGGAAATCATGCTTGTAAATTTTCTATTCAGAAAGAGGATTATAATCAACTTAATTTTACAATTTCACATTTTTCCTTAGCTGATATTTTAAAATAAAATCACCTAACTGCTTAACTTTGATCCTGTCAGAGGCAGCAGTGAGCCAGGAAAAAAGAAGCAGCATATCTGCCATATCGAAGGATGTGGAAAAGTTTATGGGAAAACATCTCATCTCCGGGCACACCTTCGTTGGCATACTGGAGAAAGACCATTTGTATGTAACTGGATGTTTTGTGGCAAAAGATTTACACGGAGTGATGAGCTGCAAAGACATAGAAGAACCCACACAGGTTAGTCAACTGTCTACATTCGATGGAGTCATTCCTTTAATGATGGTGGCCATCGGTGAACAGTGATTTTAAATAAAGTAGTTATGTAGGCTATCTAAATAATATGCTGAATGTATTACATTTGAAATAATCCAGTGTGTTTTAAAATTTGTTTTAAAAAGGTTATAGTTTATAGGGATTGATTTTCCCTTCTGCCAGAGCTCTGTAGTAGACTAGGCTAGAATTTGACTAGTTAGTCAAGTTTCAAGCTGTTTCCCTGCATCTGCATTAGAAAAAGATTGAGTTTAGGACATGGTTAACTAGCATGCATTGGCTAAAAGCCTGACCTAAACTTGACCAATTTTCCTAATCAAGACAAATCCTTGGGGCTTTTTTACACAGGGGTTTAATCCACAGTAACTCTAGTTGGTTTGATGTGAAAATGCCTGCATGCACACAGCATAATTTGTTAGAATGTAGTAACTCCAAAAACTCTGGAATACTCTTTCAAAGTGAATTATGTTTAATGCAGATTCAGTTAGTGTTGTGCATTGTTCATGTGCACACAGTCCTGCTATGCACTACTGTAGCAGTCCTCCAACTGGTATCCCACACTGTTTGCGGGCATCCATTACTGATCTGTCTGTTTACTTGTGTACCCTCCATTGCTCTCAGTTGACTGGATGTCCCTCCTGCATTTAAAAACTGTCATGAGGCCAGAATTTGCCCATTTGCTCACGGATTTGAATATATCAGCATTGCTACAATCCAGAAGGCTTACAACATGCCTCCAGCAGTTGCTTAGAGCCGTGCTGAGATGCTAGATCTTATCATTATCTGGGGAGCAAGCTCTTGTGAAATAAAAATGTTTTTGTGGATGTTATCAAGTAGATGTCTACGAGGGGCCACAACCAGGACACCAGCCAGTGCCAGATCAAGAGCAAACAGCTAAGAGGATTTACATTAAAATGAGGGATCCCAGGAAGAGGTCAAGCAATGGAAATGTAATCTGTCCATTTTTTGAGGAGCCGGACAGTACTTGATTAAATTACACCACTGCCAAACCCAAATTGGTTGTGGACCCTGCTGCCTCCCCTACAGCCTTCCCCTGAGGACAAGCAGTAAGAGTCATCAGAGGAGGATCACAAGGAAGGCAGTGAAGAGCTCACCCCAGAAAGCCAGGATCTCTTTGAGACTCAGGATCTGATTCTGTCCGCATAGGAAGCAAGGTTATAGCTATGTCTACACTGCATCTGAGAGTGAGCCTTCCAGCCCAGATACAGTAGAACCTCAGAGTTACGAACTGATCAGTCAACCACACACCTCATTTGGAACTGGAAATATGCAATCAGGCAACAGAGACAAAAATTAAAAAAATGTACAGTACAGTATAGTAGTGTGTTAAATGTAAATTACCAAAAAAAAAAAAATTGACAAGGTAAAGAAACTGTTTCTGTGCTTGTTTAATTTAAATTTAGATAGTTAAAAGCAGAATTTTTCTTCTGCATAGTAAAGTTTCAAAGCTGTATTAAGTCAAACTTTTGAAAGAACAACCATAACGTTCAGTTACAAACATTCCAGAATTACGAACAACCTCCATTCCCAAGGTGTTTGTAACTCTGAGGTTCTGACTGTTCATAGTGGGGCTTGCACTAGGGCGCTAAAAATAGCTGTGTAGATGATGCAGCTCAGGCTGGAGCTTGAGCTCTGTGGCCCTGGAAGCACTGTCTACGCAGCTATTTTTAGTGCAATAGGACAGGCCCTTTTAGCATGAGTCTGTGAAGCTGGGCTTGGAGGCTCACTCTCAGATGTAGTGTGGACATACCCTATATGGCAGGGGTGGCCAAACCGTGGCTCATGAGCTGCATGCAGCTCTTTTATAGTTAAAGTGCATCTTGCGGAGCCCTTCACTCCCCCTTTCTCCACCTACCAGACTATTTGGGGGAGCTCAGGGCTTCTGCCCTGCAGTAGGGTGGTGGGGCTAGGGGCTCCTGTTCCAGCAGGAAGAGAGGTCTCAGGGATTCAGCCCCATGGGAGGTGCCTGCCAGGGCTCAGGGTTTCAGTGGGAGCGGGGCTGAAGCCCAAGCCCCAGCAGGTGTGCCCTGTGGGGCAGAAGCCCTAGGCCTACCACCCCACCACAGGGCTGAAGCCCTGAGCCCCAGCAGGCACACTCTGGCTCTCAAACTTCTGAAGATGGTCATATGCAGCTCAGTGAGTCAGTAAGTTCTTCTTTGAGTGCTGGTCCCTAGGTGGATTCCAAACAGGGAAGAGTAGCAAGCAGTGGTTAGCATGGAGGGAAGGGAAAGCATGCTCCATGTGTGAGTCATGAGGTTTGGGGTAGAAGACTGAAAGGTGTATACTTTGGTTGAGGTGGAAGGAGGAAGCCACCTTGGGTAGAAACTTGGGGTGTAGACGTAAGGAGACTTTGTCCTTGTGGAAGACCGTGAATGGTGGGTCTGCCATTATGGCTACCAGTTCACTGATACGGCAAGCAAAAGTGATAGCCACCAAGATGATGACCTTCATGTAGAGGTGAATGGGGGAGCAGGTAGCAAGGGGCTTTAGTAAGAGTAGAGAGGACCAAGTTGAGATTCCAAAGCGGGGTGGACCTTTGTACAAGAGGAAAAAGAGTGAGGAGGCCCCTGAGGAATCAGGAGGTCTCTGGGCGAGTAAAGACAGAGAAGCCATCCACGGGAAGGAGAAGAGCACTGAGCGCAACAAGGTGAACGCAGATAGAAGAGTGCGCCAGGCCCGATTGGCAGAGATGGAGAAGGTAGTCCAGGAGAGTAGAAATGGAGACAGTCTCTTGGAATGTGACAGTGGTATGCCCAGGCAGTAAAGCGATGCCACTTAGCAGAATAACAGGTGTGAGTGGATTGGCATCTGCTGTTAGTGAGGATGTTGCGGATGGGTGCAGAGCAGGCCTGGTCTACACGTGATCCCCAACCAAATACCAGACCATGACGTGAAGAGGGCACAGGTTGGGGTATCAAAGTTAGCTGTGGTCTTGCATCAGGAGATCCGGGATAGTGGGGAGGAGGATCTGGGGCGAGCAGAGAGGTGAAGGAGATTGGTGTTCCAGTACTGGTGAGGCCAGGAAGGAGCTACGAGGATTACTGTAGGTTCTTTGAGATGTGTGGTCCCTATCTGGATTCCAGTCCCACCCTCCTTTCCCTCTGCTCCGGGCTTTTCTGTTGCTGAGTAAGAGAGAACTGGAGCGGCGTCAACCTGCGCAGCTTCTTAAAGCCAGATGCACTACATGGCCAACGCATGATGCACACGCAGATCAACAGACACTGCTATGAACAGTTCCAGTGCATGGTGCCATATGCCCATTATGAATGGAATCTGGATAGGGACCACACATCTCAAAGAACCTCCAGTTATAGTAAGTAACCTTCTCTTTGGCCACCCCTGTTATATGGCATCATTAACCACAGCAGCAAAAGATAAGGCAGCTCTTCCAGGATAACCAGAGCAATCTCTGCACCATTAATGCCCATAGTGATCCTGGCAGCAAACTGTCTTTGATTCATTTAGGTAAATCCAGCTGAGTTCCAAAAGAGCCTAGCATCGTGGACCTTTCCCAATCACCCTCCTTTTATGTTTATAAACCTGCCTCGGTGGTCAACCAGCCCTTGGAGCACCATGGATAAGGCTGCAAATCTGTCACGGTTGTGGAAATCACAGATTCCATGATCTTCCACAACCTCCGTATTTCTGCGGCTGGCTGACCCCAGGGCCTCCAGAGCAGCTGGCTAGAGTGGCCCCAGAGTCAGCCGGTCTGGCAGCCCCACCAGCCACTGCTGGAGCAGCCCCGGAGCCAGCCTCTCAGGCGGCCCCGGGGGGGGGGCAGCCTGAGCAGCAGCCAGAGCAGCACCTCCAGAGGCAGTCAGCCCCCGCCTCCAGAGCAGGGGCTAGCCATTGGCTCCCAGGATCCCCCAAAGGAGCAGCACCCCAGACAGCAGAACTCTAGGATCAGCTAAGGTTTAGTCAGGGGTGTTTATAGTAAAAGTCATGGACAGATCACTGGCAGTGAATTCTTGTTTATTGTCCGTGACCTGTCCATGACTTCTACTAAAAACACCTGTGATTAAATCTTATACTTAATCATGGAGAATTACCCCATCTGATTATAAACTCCAAACCTTGTGTGGGAGGCACATGAATCCCTGTTTGCCCCAATACAGTTTGGGAACCCCATGCATGCAAAGCCATCAATAATCTCCTGAGCATTACCAAGGTTTGTAACCCCATACAACAGTACCTTTCGCATGGCACCACACACTTGCATGGCAGTGGCTCCAACAGTCAATCTCCCTATGCAGAACTGGTTGGCTATGGACTGGTAACATTCAGGGGATTGACTACTTCGAGATGGCAGAGGTGACCCGCTTCTTGATGAGTATAAAGTGCTGCATGTTGGTATGCTGCCACTGTAGCTCCAGGGCTAGTTCAGCACTTATCTCAAAAAAGGTCACCTTCACCATCCTGAAATACTTTCACCATGTTTGGTCATCCACCCAATTGATGCTGGTTTCCCAAGCCCACAAGTGGCATTGCACTGAGTGAAGTTGCTCCAGGAGCAGTGCCTGTAATAGGAGTTGCTGGTGTAGTACTCATCTTCGTCTTTGTCTTCCTAATCCTCCTTCCTCTGCTGCAGCTGCTGCTGGAGGAGCCTCTGCTGCTGTCATGGTTGCCAGCATAGTGGTCAACATGGATCATTGTTGGGTCCATGCTGGCCAACAGCAATTTGAAAATGGTGCTCACTCTCCCAGAAAAAGAGGAAGTATGGGGTGGAGAGAGCAGAATCATGGGGTTTTGTTTTAATTTGACTCCAAGACATAATTCTATTGGCTTCCACTATGCATTCCACTGAGCAGCAAAAGAAAACTCAAAATGCACAGTGCTCAGCAGTGAAGCAAAGGACCATGGGATACCCTCTGAGAATGCCACGTGCTTAGTATGCAGCAAGTCCCCGCCATGTGTACACAATAGTGCAGATAGAAAGAGGGCACAGGTGTCCTGTGTGCACACTATTAGTGTGACTTGTATATTGCACGTTAACTCACTGCAGAGTCAAACCCCCTGTGTACGCCAGCCATTAGTCTTGTAGGGTTGTTTAGTAATCAGTGGAGCTACTTACTCTCATGGAATTGTTTTTTAGCTCAAGAAGAATGAATTAGTCCCCTTTTTTAATTTGATCCACCTCGAAAGAGTCTTCAACATGTCTCAGGTTCTAGTCTACTCTTCCAAGGAGAGGATTGGTAAGTTTTCTTAGGAGCTAAGGTTGGCAAGACATATTCGTCCATCTAATGAATATTCTAGATGCTAGGTATCATGTCAGTCATCACATAACTGGTCTGATGGCCCAGGAAACACATCATCCCTTACTTCACCAACGTCTGGCTCGGAAGACCCCATGCAAAGATGATCTGCAGGCCAGCATCATCCTAACTGGCCATCCAGCACTCTAGTGGAATCCCTGAATCTCTTCAGAGGGATGGCTTTCCTCGATCCTCAGGGGACAGATCCTTGGAGTATGGAAGCTACCTGGGTCCCCTCTCAGCAGTTCTTATTAAGTTTTTTAGTCATGTTGTTCTTCTATCCATTGCTAGGTTCTAAGTTTATGAAAGAGAATTCTTACTGAGAAGAATAAGAATAAAATTCAGACCCTGCACTGAATAATTACAACAGAGGAAATACAGGCTGCAAGTTTATCTGTTGAAAGCGTTTTAAAAGGAAAATGTAGTTTATTCAATGGGTCTGCAAATCAGACATTAGAGAAGATAAGCTTGTATCTATTTTGCAACTTTAGATACATCCAAACACTTAAAATGTTTTTGAGTGCGGGGTGGGGGGGAAGGCTTGTTTGAATGAATGAAAGAAGTTACATACCTTTAAATATCTATGTCACTGACATTTTTGTTTGTTTTTGTTTTAAATTAGGTGAAAAAAGATTTGAGTGCCCCGAATGTTCTAAGAGGTTTATGCGGAGTGACCATCTCTCCAAACATGTCAAAACTCATCAGAACAAGAAAGGTGGTGGAACAGCCCTTGCTATTGTTACTTCAGGAGAACTGGACTCTTCAGTTACTGAGGTTCTTGGCTCTCCAAGAATTGTCACAGTTGCAGCCATTTCTCAAGATTCAAACCCAGCAACCCCTAATGTTTCAACAAACATGGAAGAATTCTGAAAGGATCATTTATACAGACACCTAGTGCTGCACTTAAGTTTACATACCTTTCATGATATGGAAGTGGGCTGGTAAAGTGGATTACAGAGCAGGAAATCATGTTTTCAGTCTTGACTTCTGTAAGTATTCCAAGTTGGAGGGTCAGCATGAGAAGTGTACACTGGTGCAACAAGACAAATTTTCAAAAATACAAACAGCGCAAATTGACATACTGGATAAACAGTTGGGGGAATACTGCTTCCATACTGTACTTTTTTAGTTATGTGGCTCTATATTATATAATTGTTTTAAATGAAAATATCCCCTCTCTTTTAGCATTTGTGTGTTGTTGTGTTTGTAAAATCAGACAATTTCAATATGACAGGGTGGATCTTGGTTAGGAGTGTTGTCATTTGGAGGTACTTTGTTTATAATCTGAATCTGTAATATTTTCATGGGAACTTCTTTTCCCATGGTGCACAACAAAAATGCATAAGAATTGAGTGGTAATTATTTCTGTGCTCAGTTCTGTGGAATATATAAATTGATTTTGGCCGTCTTTTCTCAAGTTTAGAAATTATTCAAATAACAGTTGAATATACATACTGCAAAGCAGATCTGAGGTGCAGCTCAGATAATTTTGACCACTACATTATAGTAGTGTGTATAAATGACAATCACTGAACTCAGATTTCTCTCTTTCTTTGGAGAGTTAAAAGATATTTAGATTTAATGTATACGTTAGAAAAAAATTAAACTACAGAAATATATTAACATAAGATTTTACAGAATTAATATCTTTATGTAGGATAATAATAAAATATGGCAACTTGTGTGTTTAAGTTTTGATATTCCAGTTCATTACATTGTAAGGCATCAGGAATCCATTTGTTAACTAGAGTCACAAAACTCATACTTATGAATATTGAAATTTTATGGGAATACTTGGACATTAATTGGACACCTGAATTGTTTAATGAGTGTTGTAACTCATTCTCCAGTTCTGTTCTGTAAATATAAATTATTATTATATTATGGTGAAGGTGAAGAATTCTTTATACTTTGACTAAACAGCCAAAGAAAAGGACAAATTATGACATTTTAACAACTAAAAAGGTAATTGTAAATTAATGTATTTTTTCTTTCTCTCCCTCTAAAGATTAATCATCGTATTTTCTTTCCAACTGTAAGTGCATAGGCTGGTAAGGAATATCCACCACCCATTTTCTTATATGATCAATAATTTTGAGCCTCCAGCCACAAGAGAAACTGGGGCAAAAAAGGAATAAAGCAATTGATTATCATATAGCAATTGATTTAAAAGGTTTGGTTATATTTCCAATATCTATTAACTTAATAGAACATAATTGTTGGAGAAATAAAACAACTGAGCATTTTTTATGTAAAAACTCCAGTGCATACATGGAGGAAAGATGGCCAAATATTTCACACTCAGGATTTTGAATTATTTTCCATAGGCATAAATGGAATGTTTTACAAATTTAGCCATTTGGTATCTCATGACAGACCATTTTTTTAAATTTATACATCAAAATATTTTTGTGATTAAAAAAGGGAGTACAGTGCAAGAAGGATTACTCTTTTTCCTGCTGGTTAAAGATGAACAGTTTATTTGGGAAATGTTTGTATGAGACACATAACAGATACCTTGTGCATTCCCTCAGAAAACATACTTCTCATATGAATGCTTTATCAATCTTGTGATGTTTCATGTATTTTTGAAGAAAGAAATACCAATCATTGTTTACACTGTGTACACTTTAGGCCAGCCCTTTGTAGCGAAATATAAAGCTGAAGGTCTTTTATACTTTCAGTTTACATTAAAAGCTTTGAGATTAAAGGAAAAATAATTTTACACTGTGGTTATAGATTTCAAGTTTCTTAAAGCTTTTGTAGACTTGTAACAAAGTCTTTAAATTTTAGTTGGGTTTTGTACATTCTTTTGTATATTTTATTTAAAGTACTCTCAGCTGATGTATCTGGATTTAAAACATCAGAATCAATTAGATTACTACATTTAATACAAGTGAACATTAGGTAGTGCTAATTGTTAATTTTGTTATATAAGAACTGAAACATCAAATATATATTTTATCATTATGCTTCACAATCAGTGCTATACATTTCTTTATGCAAAGAAAAACTTTCCTAATGTTATAATCATGTTTCTTAGAAGTTAACAGTTTTTATAAACTGAAGCTATAAGCATTCTGCACAGCCATTTCATATTTTTTCATGCATACTTTATGTATGCAGTTAAGAAACTGAAGTCATTTTTAATCTACAATGAGTCCCTATTACAAATGTATCAAAATCTAAATCCTTGGATTGGCTTCATAGTATCTAAAGTACATTCACTTATGTTAGCAGGTGCACATTTTACAGCTGGAATTAGAAATGTTTTGACAGTCTGTTCTGCATACCATTCTGAGTCCACTTTTCTGTCTTAGAAGGATCGTAAATTTCAATGTCCTTTATTTGACTCAGTGGGATATAGCTGTTGTAAGTAATAGGACACAGATGTGCAGTAGTATCTTGTTTAATGGCATTTCACTGTTCATTCCCTTTGCCACTGTTATAAAATTTTGCTTTATTGTAATTATCAGTGCAAAGTGTATTTATCATGGTAGAACTCCAGTGTTAGAATAGTTTTTTTCTTACAATATACATTCTTTGGTTAGTTTTGTGTATGTGTTGCCGATTACATTAGAAATTGGTGTTAAGTCATTATTTATCACACTCTTTCACGAGAGCAGTAATAAAAGTGTGTAATTTAGGAGAAAAAGTTAATTTGTCAAACTTAGGTAAGCATGATGTTTAGGTCCTATTTTTCAATTTTATAACTGTTTTATTGCAACAATATTTGTATTTAAGTCTTCATTTTAATGCCTTGTGGTGTTTTTTAATGCATGTCACTGAATTGTCATCCCGCATAAATTGATGTGCAGCATAGGGTATTAAATCTACATAAATGATTTTGAAACAGAGAAATAGTTGATGGTAAAAAATGTAAATGTTTTGCAAAAATTCCTTATAAAAAAGTTTTGTAGTAATATTTCACTTGTAAATTGTTTTCTAAAAAAATAGAAAAATGGAAAAAAAAAAAGAGAGAGAGAGAGAAATAAAACCAGATTTCCCACATTCTAGAATTTAGAACTGAATTCTGCCAGCAAAGCCTCTAAGGCATAATTTGACATTTTTTATATTGCTGATTTTTTTTTTTGGTAGATTTAGAACTAAAATTATGTACAAGTTGTTGCCTGCAATAACAATTTTGCAAGTAACCTATTAAAATTCCCTTGAGTGAAAAGTGTTTCTTCATTTAATTACTTATAATATGAAGCAGTAATAAATTATGTTTGAATGATCTGCTCATCAAGAAGAACCGTAGAAAGCAAATGCTTCTCAATGGAGAAGCATTGGCAGCAGCCTCTGGATTCATGTAATTAAGACCTGTACTTGCTGGTCTGCGTTCCCCAACTGGCAGACTCCCAGCAGGGAATTAAAAAAGCAGATTCCAGCTCAGTGTGAATTTTGTCATGCTTGTTCAGCTATTGGGAACGGAAGTTATAGTTATGCCTGAACACATTCATTTTTATTAAAGAACATTACAAGAGATGACTGAAGGAAAAATTTAACTAAGATGAGAAATAGAAGAAACGAAGAAAAAAAATTTGAGAATTGCAATTTTTTAAAGAGACAACAGATGATAAAACCAAAATGTCTTAATTGTGTTTCAGATTAGAAATGAATAAAACAAAAGTTTTATCCATAAAAAGGATGAAGGTACTCACTTGAGTACTCAAAAAATTATGCTGGATTTTACTTTGTTTCAGTGATATAGATGGATTTGTGCTGCTGGAAAACAAAGTAACAATATTTTGCACTTTTGTAATGCCTTCTACCCACAAAACTTAAAGCATTTTATAATGAAACCTCCCAGAATTCGTGTGATGGACATACATAGTATTATGCCCCCTTTACCGAAGAAGAAACAGGTACAAGGAAATTGATTGCTCTGTGTTTCACACAAAATCTGGCATAGATGGGAACATGGTGGATTTGATTTAAATCAATTTGATTTAAATCACTAGTCAGGAAGACTTGATTTAATCATGGATTTCTACATAAAAGTGCATTCTTGTTGGTTGTTAGAACCTTAATACATATTCTTCACAACTCAGAGAAAGATGTAGGTTTCATTTTTAGAAGGTACACACTATACATTTTTAAGTGATTTATTTTGAAAACCTTTCAGACTAGTTTTACAGCTATATCAGAAAATGATATGATTGCTTGGTTATTTCATTTACCAAAGGTAATTGAAGCAGATATTTATGAAGTCATTGTGAGGTCAACTATCTCTAATTCAACAGGTTAATCATTAATATTTGGATGATTTTCTTGCCATGATGTATTAGGAGGAGAACATCACCAGACAGACTTTAAATTGTTTTATTTAACTAAAACAACAACGTAACGTATTCTGGATTTTTTTCTTCAACAGCAAACACAATATTTTTACAAAATAACCATATGAATTTTTGAACTTAGTTAAACATTCAAGTTTTTTAAAATCAGGTTTGTTTTTGTTAAAATTGTTTTTAACTAAAATAGTTAAATTAAATTAAACAAAAAACAAAAATTAAATAGACTATGTCAGCCAGATCAACATAAGAAACTTAAAATATTGGCTTCTGCAGCTAACTCAGTTGTCTTCACCTTCATTTTCCTGTTTGTTCAAAATCTGGAAAAGAAAACAAAAGCTTTCCTGCTTTTTCAGGTCCCAAACGATTTCTCAATTTGGAATGAATTAGTCCAAAGGAAGAAAATAATCTTTCTACACTGGCAGAAGAAGCTACTGCTGATAAAAGTGAGATTATCACTTCAACAGTCTCTGAATCCAAGTGCTTAAGTGACTTCCACCAGTTCATTGGTGTGACTTTCTTTAAAACATCAGCAAACATATATTTCTTGAATGGTTCACCTTTAGCTCTGAAGTTTATTATAGTTGGCATTATGGAAGGATGATTGCTGGACGTCCATGTCATAGCCAACTCGTCGTCTTCAGTTAAGGTTTGACCCTGATACCGAGTATTGAGAATATTTTCAAGAAAATGAGCTGGAGATAGTGCTTGTCCCATTCGTTGTTTTAATGCTTGTAATTTAACTCTGTCAACGCATATTTCTCTTTTTAAGATCTCAGTCAGTTCCTTCCAGGTTTCAATAGTGTCAGCAATAAAACAGCTATTTCCCTGCATTTTGTTCAAGGCTACAGAAATAGGCTTCAGGATCACTCAGCATATGTTCAACGTTTCTCTTAAGCCCAGTGTTGAGAACTTTGACTGTGACAGTGCCATCTATTTTTTCACAATTTTGTTCACAAACTGTCATCAGATTAGGCCAGTTCTTGATATAGTGCTCAAAACAGTCCACTATTGGGTTCCATCACACGTCTTGTGGGAGAGTTAGCTTGGTTCCTCCCACTTTTTTCAGAGCAGCTGCTGCAAAGTGGTTGTTACGGAAGTATTTTGCAATTTCAACAACATTAGCCTTTATTTCTGGAACACTGATATCTTTGGCTAGGAGGTGCATCAAATGAGCACTGCAACCGTATGTTATTAGCTTGGGCCTCTCTTCTAAATTTCTTCTCATCTTGGATACATTTGCAGCATTGTCTGTGACCAAGCTGCAAACTAGACATTTTATTTTTTTTCCCACAGTTTGTTATAGCTTTTACTGCTACTTCTTGTAAGTATTCTACTGTGTGTGCATTTCCTGATGTATCAATTGTTTCTGTAAGGAAGACATTCCCTTTTTCTGTTGTCACACAAGCACATACAACAGGATCATTGTGGACATTGCTCCACGCATCAAGACTCAAGTTAACAATTTCACCCTCTATACCTTTTGCACACTGCTCAATTTCTCTTTCATACGCTTTATCCAGCAATTTGCCTGCAACATCTGATCTGTTGGGTAGACTGTATCCTGGTGTTAATGACTGAACCATTTTAATGAAGTGTGGGTTCTCAATCATACGGAGAGTTTGTTGCACAAACAAACCGGGCAATTTTTTCATAAATTACCCCTTTTTGTAATCTGCTGGTTCTTATCACAAACTTATCTGTGATTGTTTCTGGATGATAGAGATTTTTTTTTCTTTTTACTACAGGCTATGTGACATACGTGATGGGACTGAAACACTATCATTGGCAGATAACTCTGAAACTATAGAAAATGATGGTAATCTTGAAGGTGGATAGTCTTCAAAATCCTGTATGTTGAAGATGGATTCTCCTAAACAAAATAAGTCAATGCAGTATTTAATTATTATTACCATACTGCTCATTTAGTATTACTCATTGCATTCACTGACACTTCAGTATTACTTTAAAGGTGAAATTGTAAAAGGGAGATCTGTCTATTTCAGTTATTTATTTTTTATCACAACTGCATCTAAAATGATAGTACCATAGAGTAACAAGTATATGTTTTGCTCAAACAAGAATAGTCCAGAAGGAAGATAGGCAGTCCTTAAGAAAAAAAGTATGAAATAAAAAAGTTTACCAACCTGAAGATCCTGGATGTTCAGACATGTTCCTTTCATCATCTTTAACGCAGTTTCCTCCTGAGAAGGAACACTCTCATGATGTTGTTTCATTTGGGCAACCAGGCCTTGCATTTCTTTGTTGCACTGTTTGCATTTTGCACACATGCTTGTCTTACCCAGAGGTAGAGGAACTTCATTAAAATATTCCGAAACTGGGTCTCTTTTACGGCCTGCTGCCATTATAGGTTTTCCCTTCTCGTGAGAAAATGATATGGTAGATCTCAAATCAATGAAGGCTACACTCAGAAAGACCTCAAGACTTCTGGAATATGCTGCTCAAACGGTTTCACTTTTGTTTCTACTGCTTGTCCCTCCATTCTCACATTTATCTCCAGACTTCTTCTCCTTGTCCAGGTCTATTCAACCCCCAACAATCTTCTACTCATTGAACTTTTTGAAACTTTGCACTTTTAGAGAGAGGTAAGGGATTGACTCTGTACACAAATTTGCAGAGGGACAATAGGGTTGAGGTCTGTTTGTCTCACCTCTATATGTTGGTTGGTTGGTTTATTTTAAAACATTTTTGCTGTTAACAAGCATGTTATCTCTGGAGACACAAATCCACAGTTTGAGAACTTCAAAACTAGGCATCTCTGATGGTATCTTCTAGACTGAGCACTGAGTCCCGTTGAGTAGATAGAGAGATTTACCTAACTAATCTATACAGAAGCTCCTGGAACCCCATAAAATTGGGTCCCTAATTCATGAATTATTGGAACTAATTTCTAAAACTTTTCTTAAACATTAAATGAATATATTCTCATACTGTAGAATTAAAATTTATAATCCCTATTATATTATAGCTCAAAGATATCTCATCATGGATCTTAATTAAAACTATCTTTAGATAGTTTTTTTTCTCAAAAAGCATTTTATCAAAAAGATCTATTTAAATTTAAAAAATCTGTTTTTGTGTGTGTTTTTTTAAAGAAATCATTGTTTTTTATCCACCCTGCATGGGAACAGAATCTAAATTCCTGAGTCCTAGTCTTGATTTTAGACAACCATCCTTCTCCTCCAATACAGACCTAGAATCTATGAGCTTCATTGTATCTATATGTTCGATGAGATGTGTTTAATTTCAAGTCTCATTAACTTCTATTTGAGTAGAATGATAACTTATATTAAACAAAGCTTTCAACTGTAGCCAAAGTCTAACAGAATTTGAATTAAAATCTATAGTTTCATGTAACCTATTACTAAGTCTATATTACAAAATATTTTTAAAATGACATTTTACAGGGGCACAGGGATTCTTGTTTTTAGCCGTTTACTGCTGCTGAATGTTTTAAATTGTTTCTTAAATTGTTGAGAAGAGAGAAATCCTCCATTTTGCATCCATCACTGTAGTGCAGTTTCAGAAAATGTAACACAAAACTTAACCAATTAGGAGACTAAGGATAAATATTCAAACTTTCATTCTGTCCCCTTTATGTATGTGCCTTAAAATGTGGCCTTTGTATCATCTACTTTTTGTCAAATGTAAAATGTAATTCCAAATAGAATTTCTTAGACAAGCTTAGATACAATAAAATAAAAATAATGTATTGTACATACAGTATATACATTGATATACTTTTGTGAAATAGATACCGTGCAGGTAGGCTAGTAACATAACATTTTATATCTAGTTAAGTGGCAAAATACAGTATTAGAATTTTTCTGTAATGAGCATGGATCAGCTCTGTACTTTCCCTCCCACACCCCAGCTACTTTGCACCTTCTAACAAACCTAGGAATTCCGTTAGATTAAGGGGAATCCTCAGGTGGCATATTAGGCCCTATATCATTTTGCCCCACCCCTGTTGTCTCAAGAAAGAGGGGTATGTTAGGAGTTTTCTGAGGAAAATGAGATGTGTCTAGAGCAGCGTTTCTCAAATGCAGCCACCAGGGGCTTTTCTTGTGGCCACAGCCTCCTAGGCAGTAACTGGGGCGGGAGGGGGGCAAGCTGTGGCTGTTGCCCCAGGGCCACCAGCAAAAGTTGGACCCTACCCCTCTCTGGGACCACAAATTCCAGATGATTGGCAGCCAGTGAGTTCTCCACCTTCCTGGGAGTGGTGAGGCTCAGCCTTCAGCCTTGGAGTGGTGGGCAGCAGGCTCTGGTCATGGGGCTTCAGGCTCCAGCACTGGACCCCAGCCATGGGTGCCAGCCCTTGGCTTACCCCCCCCCCCGCATTGCCCCTGGCCTCCCCGGCCTACCCAGCCTCCCCATCCATTCCCCCTTCACCACTGGCCCCCACTATCTCCCTATCCACCTCCCCATCCAGGGCTCAATTTGTTCCCTGTCTTACCAGGGCTGAATAAGTCTGCTGTTAAAATTGATAGTTGTATGTTTGTTAATATCAATTTTCACAGCCTCTCAGCTAGCTAGTAAGTCTGCTGTGAAAAGTGATATTAATAAACATAGAATTACTTTTCACAGCAGGAGACTTACAAGCTAGCAAGTCTTAAAAAAACAGGCAACTGAAAAGCAATAGAAATAACAACAAAGGCATGAATGTGCAAAGCACCTTATTTGTATTTCTATTCTGTTTAGGTCCAGTAAAGAATAGAGACAACTGTACATTATTATTATTGAGGCTGCAAAAAAAACCTCTACAGAAATAAATTACAATGTTTTGGACAGGTATATGTGCATATTTCCCCTCTTCTTCCCCCCCCCCAAGTTAATTAAGTGTTTTAGGAAAAATTGTCAGAGCGGCCACCAATAAGAGTTGGTGGCTGCACTCTGAGGCCACCAAAAAATGTGTTGTGAGAACCCTTGGTCTAGAGCACTGCTAAGCTATAGCTATTCTTGGCTGCTGGAATAGCTCCTTGGGGGGCTATTGCTGCAGGATACAACTTAAAGCAGACCGGCTGTCCCATACACTGTAAGGATTGCTCTAAATTGAGCTGAATTGGCCCCACAATCAAGGGATGTAAAGGTGGTCTAAAGGCACCCTTCAGGTGGTCCATTAACACAGCTGAGGATGTGGTTCCATATGTCTGTGACACAATGGAAATGATTTGCCATCACGAGAAGTGTTGTGAGGATTTTCATTTTTTTCCCCAGAGTTCTAAAGTAATTGGAAAAGCATGTCTGTCTTCCAGAAACACTAAAGTCCAGGCTTCCCAGCCTGCTCATAGAGGGCTTTAAGTGACTGTGATATCTAAGAACATCCATAAGATAGTTCTTATTGCTCAAATGGAATTGCTTTCTTAAATAACTCCATTGGCATTACTGAGGTGTTTTGTATTGTTTTTAACCAGATTAAAAAATACCCATCCACAAATGACTCTGGATCAAGGAACTTGTACGCCTCACTGCCTTGCATAGATGTTAATGTTGAAGACATGTTCCATAATTATCAGGTTTCGAGGTTAGCTTGTGAATATACTTTCTTTTCTGAATAGTCACTAACACTGAACCACAGTCTCAGTTAATTGTCTCCAGTAATGAGTACAACAGCTGTTTCTTCTCTAACTTAGAACACTTCACTCATCATCTTCTCCTGATTGATGTGGTAGCCTTTGAATTTCCCGTAGAAGGGATCCCCTTTGGGACCAAATTGAGACCCCTGGGTACCATGTAATTTTGGCAGTCCGCAAGGTCGCACCAGCTTGAGTAATATTTCAAGAGCTGTCATTTTCTTTCTCTTGAGTCTGCTCCCCTCCACTGCAGCCTGGCCTGAACTACTCTTAACCATGATTTACACAAGGCAGCAGTGCAGCCTGCCAGACCCAATAGGATTTCAAAATGTCTGAAAAGCTCACTTAAAATGGCCAGTTAGCAGAAAAGTTCACCCTGTGAAACAGCCCAGTTTGTATAGGTAATGAGGCTCTAGCTCCCCCCTTCAGGAAAAGAATACCAAGTCCACCTCCCCACTCTCAGGCTCTCATCCCCTGGCACTGTGCTCTGCTAAATTTGTGTCCCACGCTAAAACCTACTCCAAAGGTAGTCCCTTGAGTAGGCTGCCCATAGGAAATAACACTTCCCAAGGTTTTCTCTTTAAGCCAGTTCTTTATCTGAGTAGGCCGTTTGAGATGGATGGGGACAGCAGTCCATTCCCATGTATTATGGAGGCACTTGGTAGCATAGTTAGGGTTACATTTTAAAATGGGGCATAGATTTTCTAAAAGTTGGTGCTCTGTTGCTGTGAAGTTTTTCTGAGCTCTTCAGGTGCTGGTTTCTGAGTATATTCCACATGCATCTGAGACCAGAGATTTTGAGCAGGTACGTCTGTTGGTCTGCATTTACACAATTATTCTCTTTGTGCTATATACTGAAGGTATAAGGCAAGGTGCATGCAGACTGATGTCTCTGCTGTTGCACATCCTGAGTCAGAATCCTCTACTTCCAAAGCTGCTTCATAGTCTTCTTGTCTGTAAATGCATATTGTAAATAGTTGTTGGTATTTTACTGTTTTTAGTGTTTTTCTAGTTTATAGTTAGTATAGACCAGTTTCTTCCTCACCTCAGGGACCCCCACTTTCTCCTCAAAAGAAGGACTATGCCCAGAGTTTCAGGGTTTAACAACTGTGTCTTCTGCCCCCATTCCTTCTCCATCAGCAATAAAAACCAGTGCTGCCTTTGCTACCCTCCAATCCCTCACTGCCAAGTGCAGCATCTCCCATTCCTTCCCTCCTTTGAACTCCATCCAGGTCTGGTGAGTCCTCACGTGGGGGTCCTGAAGATTTAGGTCCACATAAACCTGACCAAGACGATAAGGCTTGAAGGAGAAAGGATTGGATCCATTAGTACCAGAAGTGGCTCCAGCTTATAGGCCAAAGGCTAGGCATCTACCAGTGCCAACTGGGAGCTCCACACTGGACTCCTCTTCAATAGTACCATCCTGCTCCGAGAAGGATGTGCTAACAACCATGCCAGTAGAGCAGTGGTGGGCAATCTGTGTCCTGTCAGGATAATCCTCTGGCGGGCTGCGAGACAGTTTGTTTACCTTGACCGTCCGCAGGCACAGCCACCCGCAGCTCCCAGTGGTCGCGGTTTGCCCTTCCCGGCCAATGGGAGCTGCGGGAAGCAGCAACCAGCACATCCCTGCGGCTCACACGGATTCCCACAGTTCCCATTGGCCAGGAGTGGCGAACCGTGGCCACTGGGAACTGCGGGCAGCCATGCCTGCAGATGATCAGTGTAAACAAACTGTCTCGTGGCCTGCCAGCAGATTACCCTGACAGGCCTCAGGTTGCCCAGCACTGCCCTAAAGGTACTGGATCCATAGACACCAGTTTTTGGGCCCCTTGCACTCTGGGATGTACTGAAACCTTTACCTCTCTGGAGGATATTTCTCTTTATACCCTACCCTCCTCCTCTGTTTATGGGTCCAGTCCTCCTCAGGGACATCTCTACACCATAAGAAGAAGCCACCCTGAGGGGAAAGAAATTGTCCCCATCACTTCCACAAGTCGGAGCAGATATCCACTAGTACCATCAGCACCTCTGGTAGAACGTGAACCCACCATCTCATCATCCAAGTCTGATGTTCTAGATGAACCTTCACCTCACAGAGAAGCCAGCCCATTCGGAGGCTCCAGGATATCTTGAGCTGTCCTAACAGATATGACTACCCAAGAGACCAACAGTACCCAGTGCCTTGGGGCCCTCCACAACCGGTCAACCCTTTATACTTGCCAAAGTGGAGTTCATGGCCTCTCTATGCTAGGCAACCCGTATCTGTGCAGAAATCACGACCCTCTCCTTGTAGCCGACACCAACTGGCTCTGTTGGAGCATGCAAAGGAAGATCAACAGAGCTAGATCCAACAGTGCTGGCGGTTCCAGTGGGTATGTCATCTCCCTCCCCTGATGATGCAGTTACTCCCCATTATCACCATCCTCATTTGATCACAGACAGTACCCAGAGCTGAGGCAGAGGGTGGTGACTGAACTCCAGATCCTACTAAAGAAGGTCCATAACACATAGTATAGGATCCTGCTTGTCTTACAAACCTCTGATCCTAGAATGACCATCCTAGTCAATGAGGCCATAATGGAACTGTCATAAATATAAAGGGAAGGGTAAACCCCTTTGAAATCCCTCCTGGCCAGGGGAAAGCTCCTCTCACCTGTAAAGGGTTAAGAAGCTAAAGGTAACCTCGCTGGCACCTGACCAAAATGACCAATGAGGAGACAAGATACTTTCAAAAGCTGGGAGGAGGGAGAGAAACAAAGGGTCTCTGTCTGTCTATATGCTGTCTTTGCTGGAATGGAGTCTTAGAACTTTTAGTAAGTAATCTAGCTAGGTACATGTTAGATTATGATTTCTTTAAAAGGCTGAGAAAAGAATTGTGCTGAATAGAATAACTATTTCTGTCTATCTTTTTTGTAACTTAAGTTTTTGCCTAGAGAGATTCTCTATGTTTTGAATCTAATTACCCTGTAAGGTATTTACCTTCCTGATTTTACAGAGGTGATTTCTTTACTTCTATTTACTTCTATTTCTATTAAAAGTCTTCTTGTAAGAAAACTGAATGCTTTTTCATTGTTCTCAGATCCAAGGGTTTGGGTCTGTGGTCACCTATGCAAATTGGTGAGGCTTTTTATCCAACATTTCCCAGGAAAGGGGGGGTGCAAGTGTTGGGAGGATTGTTCATTGTTCTTAAGATCCAAGGGTCTGGGTCTGTAGTCACCTAGGCAAATTGGTGAGGCATTTTACCAAACCTTGTCCAGGAAGTGGGGTGCAAGGTTTTGGGAAGTATTTTTTGGGGAAAGACGTTTCCAAACAGCTCTTCCCCAGTAACCAGTATTAGTTTGGTGGTGGTAGCGGCCAATCCAAGGACAAAGGGTGGCATATTTTGTACCTTGGGGAAGTTTTGACCTAAGCTGGTAAAGAGAAGCTTAGGAGGTTTTTCATGCAGGTCTGTACCCTAGCGTTCAGAGTGGGGAGTATGCCATACCCCATCATCCTGTCCCACACCCTGAAATGCTCTCACAGGCAATATTTTGTACTAGCTAAAGAGGTAAAGTTTTTGGTTACTCACCCATGCCCAACTCCTTAGTGGTGCAGGCAGCCACTGAGAGAACCAGACTGTAGCCCCCACAGACGAGGGATCCAAATGTTTTGATCTTCTTGGGAGGAAGATATTTTCATTGATCGGCCTTCAGTTCAGAATTGTGAAGTACCAAGCTCTGTTAGCAAAATATTTCACTAATTACTGTAAATTTGTAGAGTACAAGGACAAACTTCCCCGAGAGTAGAGGGCCCAATTCCAAGCCTTCATTGATGATGGGCTAAGACTTCACCCGAAGCAGCAATAAACCCAGCAGATAGAGCTATAGCTATAGCCCTAGTCACATGACATGAATCATGGCTTCATTTTTCAGTGTTCCCCAAGGAATTCCAGAATACCATTGAGGACTAGCCCTTTGATGAGTCCAATCTCTTCAGCAAAAAGACTGATGAGTAGTTACACTTATTAAAGGACTCCAGGATGACACCCCACCCCCCCATTCCCTAAGCATTTATACATCAACCCTGAAAACATCACAGGCAGGTATATGAGCAGACCTCCCCCTCAGTGGATGATGTCCTCCTGTTATCCTGGACAGATCAACTGAGTTGTGCCTTTCCTCCCATCCCACTGCTACCACAGGTTCTGCAGAAGATTTGTCATGACAAAGGTTATGTCAACTGTGATCCAAGAACTCTTTAATGCTAACTGGCTAAGGAGTTACAGGATAACATCCTGATTCTGGTATGTACATTCTTGTTCATCAAAGAATATCATGTGAGGTCTTAAAAGCGAGGGTGTCACAGGTCATTAATGTCGTGAAATGTAAGTACAAATGCTATGTAATGTTATGTGTATATACTGAAAATATGTTCTTAAAGTCTATATAAAGATATGAGTCACCAGCAGAAGTGAAAAAAACTGATTTTTATGTCAAATGAGATGTCTCTTCACTTGGCTCTATCAGAATGTAAATTAAGCATTGTACGCTAATACAATGGATACTATTTACATACAAAATCAACAGAGAGATGTGAAGTCAACAGGGAAGTAGCACACAGGAAAAATAAGATATAGATGGTTATCCTGTGTGAGTATACACAGTGAGCTTTGGAGAGTGTAAGTAGAAGGCAAAGATAACACTTCCATTGGGAAGTAAACGGGCAGTGTATTTACATTCATGAAAACAGGATCTCAGCCAACCTTGGTTGAAATACTGCAGTGGACTTTGGGAGTGAGATTAACTACTTTAGATAGGAGGTTAACCTGTTAGCTGAGTTTAGTCTCCATCTACACCTCATGGCCTGGTATTTGGACGCATATCAGAACACAGAGCATTCAGGTTCAGAGGCAATTTAATCTGTTCTCACTCAAAAAAGAAAAGACTCCAGAAAATTCTGTTTAGCTAAATGGAGTAGTTTTTCTAACTGGATGTAATAGAACTTGTTATTCCCAGAATCAGTGGACATCCCTGCTACTTTAGACTATCACCTGTCCCTGAAGCTGTCAGGGCTTTCCATTAGTTAGCTAGGGTCCATATAGCAGCAATCGGTGCCTTCCATCCTCCAGTAGAAGGCTACTTTATTTTTACTCAGCCAACAACAGTTAGATTCCTGAAAGGTCTCATTAGTACTTTACCATTGGTGGTGAAACCTACACTGCAGTGGGACCTCAATCTTGTATTCTCAGTACTTATCATACTACCCTTTGAATTGTTGGCCATGTGTGTAGTGCCTCCCCATGAAAGTCGCCTTCCTAGTCACCATCACATCAGCCTGAAGGTGAATGAACTAGGAGCTCTTCTGGCTGACCCACCGTACACTATATTTCATAAGGAAAAGGTGTGATGGGTTGTTACCCCTGGGGTGCAGTCTGGGAGCTGTGGGAACTGCTGCACCTCTCTAAAACACACAGCTGGGTTGGGGACACAGCCAGACTCACCCAGGCCCTGTTATCACCCAACACGACAACAGGTGGCACCACTCACCCAGACTGGGCTACCTAAGTACAAACAGCAGACCCAGCCAGTTTCTCAGCTCCACAGGCCCCCCTTCCCCCACAAGAATAAACCCAAAATTATATCATCTTGCACTGCACAGGGAGCTGTACAGTGTAAACTCATTAATATGTCTGCCCCTCCCTCAATGTGGGGAGGAACATGCACTCTCATGGTAACCAAGCTGATATTTTCCACAGACACTTCACTTAAGGGCACACTGGTTTAGGTTAAAATATAAAACAAGTTTATTAACTACTGTACAAAAGACAGATCTTAAGTGATTATAAGTGAGAGCAAACAGATCAAAGCAGATTACTTAATACATAAACAAAAATGCAAATTAAGCCTAAGACGTTAGAAAGATAGGATATGAGTTAGCAAATTCTCAGCTTGGCTGCAGGCTTGCAGAGTCTTAAGGGACAAGGTGCATTTGCTTTGCAGTTTTGGATCCCCTCCCCCATTGCAAGTCTTTTTCTTTCGGAGCTTCTCTCAGGTGTTGAGTTATGGGGGAGTGAAAAACAACTGATGATGTAGCTTTAGCATATGGAGGGAACCTTTTGTTCCAAAACCAGTTCCCAGCCCAGTTTGTGGAAAAATAAAGGTACCCAAAATGGAGACAGCGTCATGTGGTCTGGTCACATACTCTTGCAGAGTCATAGCAGCTATTACTTACAGGCTGGCTGAAATGTCCACAGGAAGGCTAAGCTATTCCACAGCTCATTGTCTTTGTTGATGATCCATTAGCACTGTTTGGCTTTTTCATTGTTGTACCGGAAAGGCTGGCTGTGGGTGTTTTCCAGAGTAAGCCCATTTGAAATACAGATCCATAGTCAAAATTCATAACTTCAGATACAAAAATGATACATGCATAAAATAGGATAATCATATTCAGCAAATCATAACTTTTTGAGGAGAGGAGAGGAAACTTCACTCTTTCAGTGTCAGATGGACTTTAGCATTCTCTCTGCAAAGAACAAAACCAATTAGGAAATCACGGTGGGTGTTTGTTGCTATAGTAGATCAACCATGAGGAAAAGTATTATCTGCTCAGAGACTCCCTAAGTAGGTCTCAGGCTGCATCATTCTTTGTTATTAGTTGGCTCTCATTGCTCCTTTGGACAGGGTTAGGGCCCATTCTACTAGAGCACAAGCAACCTCAACAACATCTCTTTGAGAA